ATTACAATTACATAATTCCAGAAAACAAAGAAAATTTGATTTTATTCAACATACCATCATTAAATAAATCTAAGAGCCAACTCTATGTTGGGCACTTGTCAGAATACTTCAAAAAGACTAAGGAAACCAGAACATAAATTACAAGTTAAACAGGACAAAATTCTGGCGATTTACCTAGCAAAGATTTAAATATTGATATTAAGAATTATCTATTCTAATGTCAAAATTCTAGATGGGATTATATCCAAAACAAATCTAAATGGATTTGTGAATTATGAATTAGGGTTGTCAAATCTACCAACCACAAAAGCAGTACACTGGGGTATTTTGGCATTCATTAGGGCAAAAGGTATACTATAAAACTATCTGACAAATTCCAAACTGGCATTGTAGTTAATGAGATCACTTTATGTGATCATTTCCAAGCAGATGAATTTTTTTTCATTTCGTATTTATTAAGAATAAAATATTTCTCTTTAGCTGTTGTCAACTTCCTTGAAGTCTTTTTCTTAAATAACTATTGGGACTCCCCCTTTCAAGAAGATGGAGTAAATGTACTTTTCCCTATTCCTCTCGGCAAGTTCAACTAAAAACTCTGGACTTTAATTTATATAAAACAATACAAGGAGACTCAGAAAAGTCAAGGAAAGAAAGCAAACGGGCTAGGAACTTGAGACCAAAGGAAAAATACAGTAGGGTGAATTTCCTGGATTTTCTTTTTTCCTCTTCTATCCCAGACTGGATATTAGAGAAGCTGGCAACTCAGAAACACTAATGGGAACAGACAAGAGTGAGAAAACAGAAAAGCCCCCCAAAAAACCTACTCTGTCTAACCAAAGGACAAGAAAATGGGCATCCTAGCAAGATAGAAAATTTTTAGACAATAATCACTGTATTCCACCCAAACACCACAAATAAAAACTGCAGCCCCCGCTCCCCACCCCCATCAGCAAGTCAAGTAGACAGCCTAGACTTGTACTCTTGCCAGGCTGTAATCACATACCCCAACACCCCCTGCCAGGGTGGTGTCAGAGAACGCCAAGTGGGAAGCTGGCAATTTCATCCTGAGCCCAGAATTTTATCCACATCCAGTAGTAACAAGGAACCCCATCCTCTCCTTTCTGGAGAGGTATCAGAGACCTACTGGAGAGGCAAGACTCTCACCACTCAGCAGTAATGAGGGCATGTCCTCACAGTGTCAGCAAAGACCACATAAGTAGTCTGGGATTCCACTCTCATGCTGTGGTAACAAGGAACTCCTTCCCTTCTCCGTTGGGTGGATTCAGAGACCAGTGGAGTTAATATGGCCACCTTCCCACAGTGTCAGTGGAATACAGGTGGCTAGCAGTAACAAGGTGCCCCTCCCCTCCCAACCAGGATGGTATCAGTAGAGGCCTAGTGAGGAGCCTGAACTCCCACCTCTGCCCAGCAGTAACAAGAAGAGAGAGCCCCCTCCTTCCCCATCATTGACTGTCAACAGAGGCTAAGTGAAGAACCTGGATTTCTACCCCTGCCAGCAGTAACAAGGCAGTACCATGTTTTATCCACCAAAATGGTGTCAGAGAAGGCGTGTGATAGCATGAGATTTAAATAAGATCCAGTCTTGTAACATAATACACAAAACGTCCAGGTTTCAATCAAAAATCACTCTTAATACCAAGAATCAAGATCTCAAACTGAATGATAAAAAAAAAATGTCAACACCAAGATGGCACAGATGTTAGAATTATCAGACAAGGCTTTCAAAGCAGCCATCATAAAAATGCTTGAGTAATTACAAACAACTTGAAACAAATGAAAAAAATAGAAAGTCTCAGCAAAGATATAAAATATATAAAGTAGAAACAAATGGAATTTTGAAAACTAAAAAATACAGTAACACTCGAAAAAAACACTCAACAGGGAAGTTGAATGGGGAAGACAGAGGAAATAATCAGTGAATTAGAAGATACAACATAGAAATCACCCAATCTTAACAGAGACAATAGACTTAAAAAAAAAAAAAAGAGAACAGGCCTCAGGAATTTGTGGAACTATAAACAAGATCTTACATTGTGTCATCAGAGACCCAGAAGGAGAGGAGAAAGAAGATGGGGCTAGATGTATTCAAACAAGCAATAGCTGAAAATTTCCCATTTGGCAAAAAACAGAGATTCACAGAGTGACCTCCAAACAGGATATACCCAAAGAAATCCATGCCAAGACACATCATAGTCAAACTTCTACAAACTAAAGACAGAAAAGAAAAAAATCTTGAATGTACCCAGAGAAACAACGCATTACTTATATGGGAAAAAAATTTTGAATTACAACAGAATTCATCAAAAAGCATGGAAGTCAGAAGGAAGAGATACAACATTTTTCAAGTACTAAAAGAACTGTCAACCCAGCAAAATACGCTTCACGAATGAACAGGAAATCAAGACGTTCTGAGATGAAGAAAACTAAGAAAATTTGTTACCATCAGACCTACCCTAAAAGAATGACAAAAGGGAGTTCTCTAAACAGAAAGGAAATGATAAAAGTAAAAACTACAAAACAATGATGAAGAAATCAAAGATGTAAATAAATGGAGAGGTATTGCATATTCACGGACTGGAAGATTCAATATAGTAAAGATGCCAATTATCCCCAAATTGATATACAGGTTTAATACAATTCCTATCAAAATTTTGCCAAGATTTTTTTGTAGATACAAACAAGATTAATCTAAAATTTATATGGAAAGGCAAAAGAACTAGAACAAAAACAATTCCGAAAAAGAATCAAGTGAGAGGAATCACTCCATCTGATTTCAAGACTGATTATATAGCCACAATAATAAAGTCTACATGTTATTGGCGGAGGGATTGAAACAAATTGATGGAACAGAGAACCCAGGAAGAGCCCACACAAGTATGACCAACAGATTTGTGACAAAAGTGCAAAGAAATTCAATGGAGAAAAGATAACCTTTTCAAAAATGGTGCTGAACAACTGGATATCCACAGACAAAACAAATGAATGTTGACCTAAACCTCACATCTTATATAAAAACTGACTCACGATAGATCAGACACTTAAATGTAAAACATAAACTAGAAAACTTGTAAAAAGTAATATGGGAGAAAATCAGGACCTAGGGATTGGTGAAGAGTTCTTAAATAAGACACCAACAGCATGAAAAGAAAAAAAAACAAAAACAATAAATTGGACTTCATCAAAATTAAAAACTTTTGATCTTCAAAAGACCTTGTTAAGAAGATAAAAGGCAAACTACAGAAGAAAATATTTGCAAATCACATATCTGACAAAGGACCCTACCTAGAATAAAGAATTCTCAAAATTCAAAATCAGGAAAACAAACAATCCAAATAGAAAATGACCAAAAGAAATGAAGAAACATTTTACCAGAGGAAAAATGGATGACAAACATATGAAAATATGTGCAACATCATTAGCCACTAGGGAAAGGCAAATTAAAAACCATGAGACGCACTCCTGTCAGAACAGCTAAAATAAAAAAAAACAATATCAAATGTTCATGAGAATGAGAAGAAAGTGGATCTCTATAAACTACTAATAGGAATATAAAATAGTATAGCCACCCTGGAAAATTGTTTGGCCATTTGGACATTTCTTTTTTTTAAAAAAACTAAACATATACTTACCATTCGACCCAGCAATCACACTCCTGGGCATTTATCCCAGAGAAATAAAAATGTACATCTGTTTAAAAACTTGTACACGATTATTCGTAGCTTTATTTGTAATAGCCAAACACTGGAAATAATCAAAATGCTCCTCGGTGGGTGATAGCTGTACAAACTGTGCTACATAAATACCAGGGACTACGACTCAGCAATAAAGAACGCATTGCTACACCCAACAACTTGGATGGCTCTCAAGAAAGTTACCCTGAATGAAAAAAGCAAATCCCCCAGTCATAACCTGTATGATTCCATCAAAATGACAAAATTATAGAGATGGAGAACAATTCATGGTTGCCAGGGTTTAGGGATGGTATGGAGGGCAGTGGTACGGAACTGGGTGTAATTCATAAAAGGACAGCATGACAGAGAACTTTGTGGTAATGACATACTTCTATATCTTGATCGTAGTGGTGGTTACACAAATCTATACATGTGATAAAACGGTACAGAATTACACACGCACTGTACCAATGTCAAATTCCTAGTTTTGACATTGTATTATAATTAATAACCAATGGGGGAAAACCAGATGTAGAGTATATGGGGACCTCTCTATACTATCTTTGCAACTTTATGTTGCAATCCATAATCATTTCAAAATAAAAAGTTAAAAATAAAAACTATTAGAGGAAGACTGGCACAGATGTTAGCTCAGTGACAATCTTCCTCAAACAAAACAGGAAGATTGGCAACAGATGTTAGCTCAGAGCCAATCTTGTCTTCATCAAAAAACAAAAAAATCAAAAAAAATAACTATTAGATGATATACAATAAACTTCTAAAGGACTCCTCAAGGGAAAAAAACAGCCATCTATTAAATCTGTGTGACTAAGTCAGTTTGCTCCGTAACATTTTTGGTTTGGGGAGTGAGATAGGTTTTGAAAACACCTTGCTGAGGTTTACAGTTAAGAAATTATATCATTATACTATTGGCATAACATAATAGTAGACTGCACTGCTTATGAGAAGGCATTGAAGAGTTAAAATTAATATTTAAAATATACCTAGATTTGACTATGCATTATCTTTCTTCAGATTAAATTGATTCCATAGTTAATTGTGGCTAAATCTAAATACTAATAAACTTAATTCTAAGAAATACATCTCTTCAAGCTACTTTATATAGTAAGATTTCATTTTTGATATGTAAAACATTTGCAATACCAACAAAATGGAAGTAAAATGAACTAGAGGCCACTTAAAATGAATGAAACATAATTCCTCAAAAAAAAAAAAGGCTATATAGTCCTACGTGTTCCTATTACTTGAGACATTTCAATAACAATAAAAAATATACAAATACACGCATCTTTCAACCAGCCAATATTTTAATAATACACAATATTAACTGATATGTAAAAAGTGCTTTCACGATCTGTCACCACCAAATAATACGTCAGATAATTTTCAAAAATGTGGTCTTTGACTTCTAACCTCTGCTCTTCGACTTCTAACCTCTGCTCTTCTTTAGAATTACCTGTGAAGGGAAAAAAAATGAAGATTAATATTATACCTGTGGCAAATAAAACATAATTCCTCTACAAAAAGTTAAATAGTCCTATGTGCATAATATGCAAGACTATGAATTTATAAAACTCAATTTGGACAGTGACTAGGGAATCTTTTGCCTTATAAATGATCTTAGATGTCTCTAAAATAGTCTACTTCTCTCAAAGAATGTGAAACATGCCTAGATTCTCAAAATCTGGTTTTACTGTCACTTCTAGATGTTAATTTCTTCAATTGTAAGTCAAAAGTGTCATATTAATGGTTCCCAACTTGAGGTTTGTAGACAATTTAGTAATCCAGGGAGTTACAGACTGTTCCAAAACTTGAAAAACCTATTATAAATCAGGCATTTCACAACTATAAAGCAATACAAATCGACTGCAACATCAAATATCTTATATGTGGGCTGGAATTATATCAATTTGAGATCAACACTAGTCATCTTATGCTGAAAAGCTTGTTATATAGACAATTTTCAAAACATATAGCACACGAGAGAAATAAAACAGAATGAGATCTTTAGTTGCAAAGGACACGGAGCATTTGACCAGAATATATCCAAAGTTTTTTTAAAAAACTTATCTACTTTTAGGTAAGTACACCTATAATTTATTAATAAAAAGAAGCAAACCAGGGCCGGCCCGGTGGCACAAGCAGTTAAGTGCGCACGCTCTGCTGCGGGGGCCCAGGCTTCGCAGGTTCAGATCCTGGGCACACACCAATGCACCGCTTGTCAAGCCATGCTGTGGCGGCGTCCCATATAAAGTAGAGGAAGATGGGCATGGATGTTAGCCCAGGACCAGTCTTCCTCAGCAAAAAGAGGAGGATTGGCAGATGTTAGCTCAGGGCTAATCTTCCCCACAAAAAAAAAAAAAAAAAAAGCAGCAGCAGCAAACCCTAAATTCACAGATTCACACATTCACTCAAGCTCTTAAGTCTTGCTGTGTTGTGAGTGGCGTGGAGTTGATTCTGACTCCTAGGGAGCCTGTGTGCAGCAGAGCGGAACCCTGCGAGGTCTTTTTTGCGCCATCCTCTGATACACCCTCTAGGGCTGTATCAGACAATGCTCTGCTGCTATTCATAGGGTTTTCATGGCCAGCTTTTATTTTCTGGAACTGGGTGGCCAGGTCCTTCTTCCTAGACTGCCTTAGTCTGGAAGCTCCACTGAAACCTGTCCACCATGGGTGACCCTGCTGGTATTTGAAATACCGGTGGCATAGCTTTCAGCATCACAGCAACACACAGCTGCCACAGTATGACAACCGACAGATGGGTGGTGCCGTTCCCTGATGGGAAGAGTGCCCAATCTTAACCATTAGAGCACCAGGGCTGGCTAAGCTTTGCTTTATCGCAGAAAAATACTTATATTAACTTTAGTAGTCTAGAAACTTGTTGGAATGTTTATAATTGCAAGAGAATTTAAAGCCCCTAAAAAAAATGCCAGGACATGCACATTTCTAGGCTTCCACAGAGGCCACCAAATAGTTCTATGCCCTAGGCCAGTACTTCTCTGTTCTACAAGATGTTAGTATAGGTACTGCAAAAGAAAGTATTACATACTCAAATTTACAAAATGCTGATTAGGTACTCAAATTTACAAAATACTAAGTAAAACAGTTCAACAAGTTTCTTTACTGCTATATTTCTCATAACTTTATATAACTATAGTTATATAAAGATGTTAGCATTGTAGGAAGCTGGATAAAAGGTAAATGGGAACTCTCTATACTATTTTTGCACCTTCCGTGAGTCCACAATTATTTCAAAATAAAAAAAGATTAAACAAAAAAGTCTACAAAGAGGTAGACTGTCAAAAATAAGTCTCCCTCCTGCATCATCCCCCAGTCAACCGTAGTTGCCAGTTTCTTGCATGTTCTTATAGAAACAAAAAAGCTCTATAAATACAATAACATTGTGACTATTCTAGGAGGCATATTATGTTATCTAAACTTATCTGAACCCAGAAGCATTTCATGGTGGGACATCTATTAACATGAAAAAGAAATAATGATCTTGGGAACATACTGGGGAAAAACTGCCCTAGGCATCATACTCTTACCTTACATAGAAATACCAGTAAGACGCAATCTCTGCCTCTGTAAGAGATTTGATTCACAAGTCACTCAAATCTCAAAAAAAATTTAGAAAAACAAATAGGTAATCAGGAAAACTTAGAATGATCAATTTTAAATTTGATTTTGATAAACTTCAAGGAGATAAACTTTCTCAACTATATATAGCCTAGTACAAACTGTACGAATCAGCAGTCAAACATTTGTTTTCACCTAACTGGTGATAAAGCAATAGCCATGAATCCTTCCATCAGAAATCCATAATATACACACAGAGAAAGAAAATCTAATTCCATAATTAAAATCCGTTAACATGAAAAGCCAAGCGTCAACTCGGTTAACAAAGCTGAATAAGGAATCTCCATCAGGCAGAGGTGACGAAGCAGGTGGTATTTTTTAAGTTATCTTTGCTCAAGAAAAGAAATTCAGATTTTACCTTTGCTGCAGCCAGTACATGCTCCCTTTTAATGACTCCACATTTATTCTCACAAGCATTTGTCCTGGACTCTTCTGCTAATCGCTGAACAAACAGTAAACAGTTCAGATGCATCTTTAAAAGAGAAAATTCAAGAGGATTTTTAAACTCAGAACACTGAAATAATGTGAAATTGAAATAATGACTCTTAAAAAAAGATCCCAAAATTTAGTGTTGTACTATTTACTACTGTGATTAAGCCAATTAACTTTTATTTAAAGTAACACGGAATTCAGTTTAATATAGGTCCACCTTAGATTCCACACAAAAGAGACTTAGTTATTGCAAACCATGAAACAAGGCTATGCAAGGCCGACCATGGGCCATGGACACTAATATTATTGTAAACCACCATTAAATCAAAACTTACATAGGACTCTGTTAAGTAACATCTATTTCTGCTTTCAATTCCAAACAAATTTAAATTTGTAATGGAATTTAAAATTTCCCAGAATTCTCTAATGGGGACTTCTCTACTATTTTTGCCACTTCTTGTGACTTGATAATTACTTCAAACTAAAAATATAAAGCAAAAAAGTCTACAAAAGGGTAGACTTCCATAAATAAGTCTCCCTTCCACATCATCCCCCAGTCAACCATGGTTGCCAATTTCTTGCATATTCTTATAGAAACAAACTCTACATATGAGCAAAACATATATATCATTTAACCTCACTATCTAAATACGTACAATAACATTTTGCTAAATATTTTACTCAAAATTTACTATCCAAACCATAAAGTACTACTCAAATCTACATGCAAATACCTTGAAAACAGTTAAACTAGAGCACAAAAATCCAACTAAGATAGAATGTAAAGTGAGCTGCAGTCCTATCTCAACTCTCCCTCTAGGATCACATCTAGTGCTCTTTTATTTAAATTATTAACATCTTCCCCATCCTTTGCTTCTGCAGGGTACCTGAGGGCACTACCAACTTAAGTCCAATTAGATAGTACCTTTGACATATAATTTCTTTGGTTATTTACATAATAGTACACACTTTTTGCAGTTACAACAATACATAATACTTAATATTCACTATCTTGTGTACTGAACACAACCACTCTCCCACAGTTTACTAAATATTAAATAACTAGGTGATGTGTTTTAAATTATTTATATTATGCAGAAATCTTCAGTGGATTGTTAGAGATGTTGAAGAATGTTTTAGTGATATTTGGGGGGAAATAAGAGTTTGGGGAATTAAATTTAATAAGATAAAGAAACTATGGAAGGAGATATTCGTTTGGTACTTTTTTGATGCACTGCCTTCTTTAATTCTCCCAAGAACTCTGAGGTAAAGCACCCAATTCTGATTCTTTATACCATGTCATTCCATTTTTTTTTCCAACTTCCAACAATATCCCATTTCCTTTTGCAGCAAAACCATTTCACAATATGGCACAATTTCCTCTGCTAATCTATATTTTCTACTTCTAAAGATAAATAGCTTCCACATGCACTCAGGATAAATTCCAAATTCCTTAATACTAAACCCCACTTGACTAGGCTCTCCTAGTTTCATCCCTCACTTTTCTCAGCTTCCAGTTCTATACTAGGTCTTTTGAACTTCTTTCAGTATTCAAATACAACCTTGCCTAAAGGCATCCTACTGGCTTGTAGACTTCGCCAAAATGCCCAACTCCCCCCAGGACATAAGGTTATGTAGATCCATGGCACCTTGAATTTCCCATCACTACACTACATCCACACACTAGATAATATTATGCAGCAATTTCTCACCTGTCTTCCTCAATGTACTATAAGCACAAGATCTATGTCCATCTTCCCCAACATTGTATCCCCAGTGACCTTTAGCGCATGGCCCAATATGTAGTAGGTAGTAAATAATTATTGATGGAACAAAAGATCCCTCCATATCTCCCCAAATGAGGCAAAAAAAATGTTTAGTCAATCCCAAAAAAGCCACACTCTGTTTTGAGACTTGGTTCACACTATTAACCTACATGGAAAGTTCTTTCCTCTTCATGAGTATGAGCCATAGATAATGAGACAATTAATATTACTTTTTCCGACGTCACAATTTCTTTTAAGCAACCTATTCCTCTGCCATAAAACAGTTAATTGAGTGGTGCCACTCAAATGCACTAAGGTTTAAATTAAAATGGTCAGAACAAAAACACATTTTAAGGTATTTAGCTAGGCATTCAAACTTGAAAAAGATAAGCCATTCCATCAAGAATTTACTTTGGAAAAAAAATCAACTTGCTTGAAAAGTAAATCAAAAGATAATTTACAAAGAAATACCCATTTCTTGACGGTCTCAGTTGACCAAGACTGGGCCAGTCTGACTTCCTCCTCCTTTTGTCACAACACTTTTGAATTTTACGTAAACCCTAAGCACATATTTGCACAACATTCCTCAGTGATAAATCTAAAAATTAGTTGAGTCAGGAGAAAGCTGAAACTTTATTCAAATTAACAGATGTACTCACCAGTACTGCCCTGGGGAGATACAATCAAATAAGGCATAAAATAAAACAACAAAAAGCCCGTGCAGAAGAACTATGAAATAACACAAGAAAATTATGAGTAAAATGTTAGATAAAACAATCAATCCACACACACAGTAGTTACTGTGCACTGTCAACATTAATTGTACATTCAGAATGTTCAAGGTATTATGCTAAACACTAGGAACACAAAAAGCCCCCAATTCAAAGTTCCCAGTCCAGTGGGAGAACCAAACCCAGAAAGAAATTAAAGACAAATGTGTGACAATAGATGACAGAAGATAAGGTTGATCCTTTCTAAGAAGATTAAGAAAGGCTTCACTGAGGAAGTGGCATTTGAACTGGATTTTGCAAGAACTGGAGTTTGCCAAGTGGGGTGGAGTGAGGACATCTTTAGGCAAAAGAAATATCATATACAGAAGACAACATAAAAGTAGATTAGTTTTGTGTTAAAGGTAATGGAAGACGCCAAGGAGATATATATGATTCCTTCCCCTCAAGAAGCTGCATACCATGCTGGGAGACAACACTGATGTATGAAACTCGTAGAGAAGCGTGTCAGAGTTCCAGTAGCTAAACTGTATGATGTGTACTCTCACTGGTATCAAAGTTCAGAAAAAAAGAGATCAAAATACACTGCCTTAATTGCAGAAAAGTTGATGGATGATGTGGGAGACCTGCTGGGTAAGATTATGAAGTGTCAACAGCAAGCGGAAAACCATAAGCAAAGAAACCAGGGTGATGGAAGGCTTATACAAGACAGTGAAAGAGAAATGACGAACGTCAAAGACAAGCAGACCACCCAGGAATAGACAGTGGCTGCAAGAACTTCCTTTCCCCCACCACTGCAATTGCTTGCCATTTCACCTCCCCTTCTTTCCCACACCACTTACATCCCACTCCACAAGAGCTAACTTTGGGGCAGGCAGGTGTGGATGTGGGAGGAATCCGACTACTTGAGCAATTTCTGCCCAAAATCTGCACCAGCTAGTAGTCTCCGAGATATTCCTGAGCAGGTACATCTCCTCACCCTCCTTTTAGAACCCCCGCACCAGTGAAAACTCCAGAACAAATTACCTAAAAATGTTTCACAAATCAATTTCACTTTAATCTAGCTCATTTATACCACCTGTATCAGCACCTGGGGCACAGGTGTACAAAACAGTATATATCGTCTTTTCTTACAGGGTCTAGGAAAGGAACAAAAAAGGAGGGCAGGAGATATTAGAAAGGCTACTTTTCCAAGAAAAAAAAAGTTGTTTTGACTTCAGAGACCAAATTAAGGAAAAGTGAAGACAATTCTACAGTAGTCTTGCCAAAAGAGAAACCCGGCAAGCAGGTAACAGATAGGGAGGCAGCAGAGAACTTAGGGAGGCTGTAGAGAAAAGAGGTGGAAAAAAAACAAAGTAGCTTAAGAACAGATGGAATGATGCACTCTGAAGACACTCTCCATGTCATGTGCTCTTGTTATCCACAATTCTTTACCTTGATCTCCTGGAAATTAGGTGCTCACTTACTTATAATGGCTCCTTTACTCAAAGAGCTCTTGTGACAAACCACAGGAGGTGCCTCCTATGGTTTAAATCTAGAGAAACTGTTCATTCTGCTAGAGAGATACATGTTCCAGGGATTCGTCATAAAAACTCGGAATTTATTTCAAGACAAATATTATACAGTGGTTAGGTTGTGGCTATTTATTAGGCGAGCATTATGCTGCAGGTATTGTGAGCCAGATAAAGAAGTTTTAGTTGTTTGGCTTGAAAACTGAATATGTTCTATTTATCTAGGAAAACAAATTTACAGTTGAGAGCATACAACTTACAAGTAAGCTTTTGGATCAGGGTTCTTTAGTAAGCAAGCTAAAGTAGAGGAAATAGGGCAATACGTTTGGTTAACAACGTAATAAGAGGGGGAAGGGAGGAAGGCAAGGAGCGAGGCACTTAAAAGGCATGTCAGTAATGCCTTTTACACTAAATAAAAATGACCCAGCCTGAATTCCAAAAATCTATTTTTAAAAGACTATTTTTCATACCTTTCGCAAGTACACTAAGCACAATACCAGACTGTGCTCTTGAACAGACATTTTTAAGAGCTATAAGCAGGAAGTTAACGTTAGTTTTCTCCTTAAATTGATGCGGCTAACAGCCTCCCGTAAGAAAGGTGCGGACATCTACACTCCAGCGGGCCCCTGTTCAACAAAGCGTCAGGAATACGAACTGACACGCCAGGCGGGGGCAAACCTGCCTAGTCGTGGCTGACAACGCCGTAAACGTAGGCCTGGAAGGGCTAGACGGGCTGGGGCGGCGACATGAAGCTGAGGTTTATTTCCCCTCCCTCCCCCTGCCCCTCTCCCGGCCCAAGAAGGGACAGGACCTCACCAGTAAATCGCCACTTGTCTCTAGACGAAGGTGAGGCTTCTGTCGCTTGAAGACGCGCTTTAGAAAGCCGCGGGGGGCCTTCCGCTTTATGTGCTTCCTCTGGGAGACTGTGGTCGAGAGCGCCATCCCCTCCTCAGGCACCAGCCGCCCCAGCTTCCGAGGGCCTCCCTGCACGGCACTGAAGCTCACGCCCGCGAGGACAGCGACAACAACCCGGCCGCGCCGACCCTGCCACAGGCCCACTACCCCGGCCCGGACATTTGAATCCGCCGCCAATGGGACGCGCCCGGCGCCGAGTAGTGACGTCAGCCCTGCGCAGGCCCCGCCCCCGGAGGCGCCCGGCTGTTGGAGGAAAATCCCCGGGGCGTCCCGTGACGTCATTAAAGGACCGGGCTTGCTTTAATCGCCTTCTATATTGTCTCAGCTCCATGGAGCTGTTTCCGCTACGTTCCACAGAGATGTTGGGAAATGTTCGTACACCTGCTCTCCAAGCTTTCACTCTATGCTGAGCGTGATACCAATGGGCTAAAAAGAAGATGGATAGAAAGAAGTTTGTGATGTTTTACCAGTATTCCTAAAGAGCTAATGCCTTCTTAGCAAGGCGTGATTTTCTAACAGCTAACACTTTACGCTTTTACATAATTTCATTTGATCTTTTCATGTTTCTAGCTTTTCTTTGCAAATGCTGCTCCCTTTAATTTTAAGGCCCCTCCACTTAACCTTGCAGTAACTTCAGGTGTAGTTTAAATGCTGTCTTATTGAAACCTTTGCTACTTCTCCAAGCAATTAACTTTTCTATCTTCTGTGCTACCGTACAAGTTGTTCTTAGACTTCACCATATATCAGATGAAGCACCACGCCCTGGGTTTCCAGACTCAATAGGTCTGGATGGGACTTGAGAATTTACATTTCTGGCAAGTATTCAGGCCATGTTGGCACTGCTAGTCTGAGGACTACTGTGAGATCACTGTAATTTTCATTGTAATTACTTCTAATACTATCCCCACAATTATTGTGATTTTAATAGCCACACAGATGATCCTTCCACTATGTGGCCGCCGGTTTCCAAGACTTCTTCTCTGCCAAAGATCTTATCTTTCACCCTATGAGCCACTCACACCTGTGATCAAACACTATGCGTTGTCATTACCAAATACCAAACCCTTCCGTATTCTCAATTCATTTGTCTCACTCTTCAACATCATCTCTGATCTTTTGAACTCACTCCTTCCAGTATCCCAACTCTAACAATTCTTAGATGCGACTGGGATTGCTGTCCTCTCTCTTTCTGTCCCTACCGTGCCCCCAACGCTACTCTACTCTTTATCCTCCCTGCTGAGGTCCATTGTGCATCATTATAATCTTCTCTTGCATTTCTCTTCAGTTCTCTAGCCATTCTCTTTTTGTCCCTCATATTCACCCAACAAAACCCCAACCCTGCTTAAGTTAAATCTCAATCCATTCTGTGCTTCCATCTGTGCATTAATATTGGCTTAAGAAAATCACACCAACAGGTCTGTGTCTGGTCTCAGTTTAAACTCATGACCACTCAAGTGGGCTCTAAGCACTGCCTGCAATCTTTTGCTATTTCCTAAGTCCTTTCATTCAACCATTCTCTTCCTCAAACCTCCCTATACTCCCCACCCCAACCTTACCCTCACTTGATGACATTCCTTCACTAACAAAATAGAAGCACACCGTAGAAACTTTCCATATGCTCCCACAACTGCATCTACCTACCAATCTCCACCTGCTCCCATGGATGAACCATCTATCTAAGACAACCACTCCACTTGTGCCCTGGATCCCAGTCCCCTCCCCTTCTTAAGACCATTCTCTTGCAATTCTCTCCTCTTCTGCTCCATGAATTTTCCTTCTTTGCTGACTTTTTTCCATCTGCACATACACGTGCTATAATATCTCCAGCTTTTAAAAACCCTTTCTTGATCCTATGTTCAGCTACCGCCCTTTCACAGGAAAACTAGAAAGTATTGTCTGAATTTGTCTCCAATTCCTTTCCTCCTGTTCTGTCTTGAAGCCACTGCAATTAGACTTGTGTACATATCTTTCCACCAAAATTGCTTTGGTCAACATGATCATTTTCTTTAATTGGGTGTTATTCTGTTTTGGTTTTCCTCCTACCTGATGGCCCGCCCTTTGATCTCCTTTTCTGGTTGCTCCTTATGAACCTTATCTCTAAATCCTGGAGTACCCCAGGACTCAGTCCTCAGATTTCTTCTCATCTCATCTATATCTACATCACTCCCTATGTGATCTCATCCAGTATTATGGTATTAAATACAAAATTTACAGCTGATTCTCTTCTCTAATCCGATATGTGTCTCCACTTTTTTCCACTGGACTGGCATTTTAAAAGTCATCTTAAATTTAACACATCCAAAATTAGCTCTTGATACACATCCCAAACCTGCTCCTCCTACCATCTTCCCTGTCACAGCTGAGGGCACTTCCATCTTTCCAATTACTCAAGCCTAAATCTTGGAATCAGCCTTGGCTTCTCTCTTTTTCTCACCCTACATTCAATCTTTCAGCAAATTCTGTCAGCCCTACTTGCTGTATCTGATCGCTTTTAGCCAAGCCACCATCATGTCTCACTTGGGTTATTGCAACACTGTCACCTCCTTCAGGTCTCTGCTCTGACAAGTATCAGAGAGTCCTTCTATTTAAAATAGAAACTCCGCACATGTATACACATATATATCTAGAAACACACATGTGCACACACACATACACAGGCCCAGTAGTGTGCAGAAACTGACATATCTTCCAGCTCTGTGTTCAGTGACATCATGTTGGTAGCTAGAAATTGGTCATGGTAGAAGTATTTACACCATAGGAATTGGCAAATGCTACAAATCAGAGTTTTTTTTCTAGAAAGCAAGTTGTTAAACATTTAACAACCTAACACTGCACATATCCCTGCTGACCTGAACATCCTAACCCTCTCTGTGGTTTATTTTTATCTATAGCACTTTTCACTATCTAATATTTGCTTCTGCATATAGAAAAATGTTATTGTAGCTTTATTTATAATAGAAATAATTGCAGACAAATAACATTAAGAGGGGAATAGAAATACATATTGTCATATGTATTAGTTTCCTGTTGTTACTGTGACAAATTACCACAAACTTAATGACTTAAAACAATGCAAATTTATCATCTTACAGTTCTGGAGGTCAGAAGTCCTAAAATGAAGGTGTCAGCAGTGCTGCCTTCCTTGTGGAGGCTCCAGGGGAGAATCTGTTTCCTTGCCCATTCCAGCTTGTAGTGGCCACTTCCATTCTTTGATTCAGGGCCCCTTCCTCCATCTTCAAAGTGCATCCATCTACGTTCTGTTTGGATCAGCACATCTCCTTTTTCTGACTCTGATTCTCCTGACTTCCTCCTATAAGAACCCTTGTTATTACATTGGGCCTACCCAGAGAATCCAGAATGATCTTCCCATCTCAAGATGCTTAATTTAATCACATCCGAAAAATCTCTTTTGCTGTATAAGGTAACATTTTCTGATTCTGGAGATTAGGACATAGACATCTTCTGGGGGCTATTATCCCGCCTACTACAGCCTCTCTTCCTGGACTTGATTCTAGAGTAGAGCTGTTCAATAGAGCTTTCTTCAATGATGGATATGTTCTATATCTGCTCTGGCCAATACAGTAGCAACATGTGGCTATAGAGCCTTTGAAATATGCCAGTGCAACTAACAATATTAGTTTGTTATTGTTGGTCTTGTTTTGCTGAAGAAGATTCGCCCTGAGCTAACATCTGTTGCCAGTCCTCCTCTTTTTTTTCCTTGAGGAAGATTAGCCCTGGGCTAACATCTGTGCCAATCTTCCTCTATTTTGTATGCGGGACATTGTCACACCATGGCCGGTGAACGGAGTAGGTCCGCACCTGGGATCTGAACCCAAGAACCCCAGGCCACTGAAGCAGAGGGCGTGGAACTTTAACAAAGTTGGCCACGGGCAAACGTACATTAAACATGTACGTTTAATAGCCACATATCACTAGTGGCTACCGTATTGGACAGTGCAGTTAAAGCAAACTAATAGGTAATTCTAACAAGTAATTCTCTCCTCTGGTTTTGGAGGTATGTGGATGCCGGAGAGCAGGATTCAAAAAGAACTTGCAAGAAAAAGAAGGACTTGCAATTTATCTGCATTTTTCATACCTTTTACAAAAAAAATACTTTGTGTTTAAATTTTTTACATATTTAAAAGAATAAGTAGAGTATGAGGATGATAATTTTGTTTATCCCTGTAATGAAGCGTGTCCCTACACATTGTCTTATTTGATCTTAACAAAACTGTGATATTGTAGGGCTGGTATGGATGTTATTATTTCTATTTTACACAAGATTAAATGGTCAAAGAGTTTCTGTGGCCCAAAGTAAAAGAGTTTATGTGAAAAATTTAAGGTATTAACCTTTGTGTTTTAATTTTCCAATATGTCATACTGTCTTTCAGTGTAAAAGAAACATCTAAACTCTGCTTAATTGCTTTCATTTAAAACTCTTATTTTAAATAGACTTTCACCTTCATTTATTAATGAGTCACAGAGTAAAACATAGGAAAATTTCATCACAACTTAAATTTTCAAAATGATCCCCTTTTCTTTTACAGTTTTTCAGTCATTTAAGTCCGTTTGAGTCAAAGGGTTAAAAATCACAAGGCAGCTGTTGAAATTCTAGCCCCCACAGCTAGACTCTTCCCCCCCAAACTGGAAGTGCCTTGAGTGATGGGAGCCCTTAACTCTAAATCCAGGGAAAGGAAAAGGGACTCCAGATAGGAAGGATGAGATCTGGACAGGAGGAACCCTAACATTAGAAGGATAAATACATCCCTTTCTTTATTCCAATCAGTTCTTCTTCTAATGTATATTTTGCCCTGATTTGAAAAGGGCAAGAGTCCTTTGATACTGCTGTTTACTTTGGGAAGACAAAAATAAAATTTGTTCAAGGAAAATTATTGAAGGATTTTTCCCTCTCTTATGCTATTCCAAGGAGTTGGTGTTCATGAGAAACAATTATAAGTATATTAAGCTGTTGACAATTTTTGCCTTTTTTGTTGATGACATCTGTTGATGTCTGCTAAGATTCTTTTTTAAATAGTGATACATTTGTTTTTCAGAATCTATCCTAAGGAAATTATCCTAAATATAAAATACATTTATGAACAGAAATTTAAAAAATATTTTCTTAAAATGCCTAATGTGTAAATTTGGGTATATATATTCAGTTAACTATTATTATGGCCAT